CAAACCACTGAAGGTATGAAAGGGGGACTCAGAGATCTGTCAGAAAAATTACAAAATTAGAGTTGAGCACTGCATTCAGCAAATACATGATATAGAGATGGCAGAAGTAAGTAGTGCTGGGAGCTAGGTTAAGATAGTGCACACTGAAATTTTCAGTAACAGGAAAAAATTCACTTTGGATACTTTTTATATATATCTACATTTTCTCTTAGGTCTCACTACTGGTAAACACATAAGTCAGCTCCTCTTTTCTTTCTTTAACTCTTCAGTCTTTCTTTCCAGGACTGCTTCACTGTAGGCATAATAAAAAAAATTTAAAAGAGTAATACCCTGCTGATACCTATTTCGTGATTCTTTTAATCCTGAAAATTGCTTTCTCCTCCATTCTTTCAGCCTCACTAATTGAAATGCTCCAGGGAACAGTCCTTGTGGAAATAAGAAAGAGCACCTAAATTGTACTTGCATTGCATGTCAAAACAAACATTAGATGCTTAAGACAACAAAAATAGCACTGGGACTCTAAGAAAATACACTGATTCCCACTATCCATGCTGCTATCAAAATACATACAGCAGATTCATCATCCCACTGAAGAACTGTAGCTGTAGAACACAGTTTTTGCACTGGATCTACCATAACCAAGAAAAAGACCAAACGGTATTCTATATTCCCTCAAAAAAAAAACCACCCTTGGCTTATGGCATTTCATCCTGAATGAACAGGTTTATACACATGCAACTACACTGAAACAAACCTGATGGTAGCAAATTGCATTGTGAAATTGGAGGTACTTCAAATGCCAAACCATAAAGCTCTCTAGGACTGGAACAGAGAATCAAGATGGCACGATCACAAAAACAGCACAAAATAGCTGGCTAAGAATGACCAGAGCGTCTGTGGAAAGAGTTTGAAGCTACAGAAAGGGAAAGAGTCTGTGAAGGCCCTGAAGTCACAAGAGGAAGAAAAATGTATGTTTCCTGATGAGAAATATACAAGAGAAAGAGCAAAGAAACATTACCTGTGGCACTGAGAATGACAAAATCAAATTTCCAGTCAACTTCAGCAAGTATCCAACACTGAAGTTCAGCTAATGTTCTGGGGAAGAAAAAAAACCCCAAAACAAATCTCAAAACCTACAGACCCCCTAACTTTACATGCAAGTTATAGTGAATATACATACACAGTGTGTTGTATAGCTATACAGTTAAAGACATCTCTTATGTAACTTACACTTTGTCAATGCAGGACTAAAGAAATGTGTGCCTTTAAAGAATAAATTCACTACAAATCTCTTCCTAAAAACAGAAGATGGAGAAAAAAAGTAATTGCTTCCTAAAACTGGTCCCTGGTCAAAAGGGACACACATCATCAGCTGCCAGCCTTCCTGCTGAGAAAGCTTGAACTTCTTGTACTACCAGATTTGATTCCTACTCCTGTCAATTTTATGTGACTCCAGAGCAGGCTCTGAGGATCACTTACACAATGAGACATCATGGCACAGAACTTGACACTTGCAATATATAAAGGATCAGATCATTAAAACATATAAGCATATGTCCATTTTTGTTGAAGTCTACAGGTACATTCACATGTGAATGACATTGGGATGAGGAAAATCTGAAAGAATCTACCAAAAACATTTCTTTAAATTCTGTTGAATGAGGAGTATCCCTGTGCTTTCTGTATGTGTTGCTCTTCCCACAACTGTGTAATTCTTGGCACTTAGTAAGAAGTACCCAGCATGGTGCTGGACTGTTCCTCATAAGAGCTGATTATGCTCCCACAGCCACTTAGAGGAAGATTTAGAAGTATGAAACAAGTACCTACACACCGACATTTTCTCTGCATATTTTAAAGTAGAAAAACATCAACTTAAAATAAAAAATACACCTGGCAAATGAAAATTAATTTATTATGCTTAAAATTATTTCAGCCACTCAATTTGCCTCCCAGTCCTATGTGCAAAAGGCCAGCTACCAGCAGTGACTGCAGCACCAGCTAAAAGCACAAGATTTACACTGGCACTCTTATTAGAGCTGAGGTAATTTAAGAGGAATGTCAGCACAAATTTACTTTTCAAACTTTATTACTCTGCTTTAAGAAGAGAAAGAATGCTTGCTATTGTAATTTTTAAAATATTTACAAAATCTTTGGTATCTGGTTTTAGTTGCACAGAGTTAAAACCAAAACTCTAACATCACCCCACATTGTGTTTCTTTCATAAGAAAATAGAACTAAAGAATAAGAAAAATCACATTTAGTGAAAATAAAGTTTTCAAAGAGAAATGTGATCACTCTTCACACTAGCTGAAATTCAAGGCTACCACTGAATTAAAAGGAGCCACATGGAGACTGCCCTGCAAGCTGTGAGCTTGTGAATCTGGCTTCCAGTAGGTATCTGAGCCATTCAAACCCACTTTGAATGGGCAGGTTCCAACCATAGAGCGGCAAAAGGGGATGAAAATCTCAAGCTAATCACATCTATGCCAGTTGCATAACTTTAATCCTGAACCAGAGGCCACATTCTCACCCTCCTGTCTGCAGATTGAGCTTCCTTCTCTTCTTTTGGCAGAGAACAATGTAACCTACTTTTAAATAATCTTTATTCCTCTTTGAAGAAAAGGATGAGGGGAAACTGTCCTGGTGGCCATTCAGTGGTGACCTTCTCTCACAGCACAGAGACATTTCAAAAATCACCTCTGTACCATGAAGGCCTTCCAAAGTCATCTCTAACAGACATGTATTTTATTATTACAGAAACACAGGAAAGAAACAAAGAAGTTGAGCAAAATACAGAAGCAAAAGGGAACCATGTGAGAAAGAAGCAATGTACTCTTTGGCTTTGCAAATAGCAGGCAACAGAAAAACCACTGATGTACCATGACACTTTTCCTATTAAACCAAACGCCTTTTTGAACATAACCGTTTGTAACAGCAACATTAAGGATCAAAACAAAAGCCCATCCTGTGCAGCCAAAAAGGAGTTCTAACAGAGGGAACCAAATGAAGAAGCAACAATTTATTTGCTCTATCCCCTCCTGCTCTGCCTGATGCCTGCAGTTAGGAAGGCACTGTCCTCAGGTGGTGGTGCCACTCAGCCCCTGCTCTCTCAGACAAGGCTCCCAAGATGATTCCATTTTGAGGTAGACACCTGTCCACTGGCAACAAGCATGAGAGCATCAACTGCAAAACGAGGCTACCGCATGGCAACAGCTTTCAGTCACTACAAAACTTGCTTCCAAATTGAAACAGCTACCAAGAGGTGAAAAGCTCCATATCACATTTCTAATCCCTCCTCTCTGCAACTTTTTTTTTTTTTTTTTACTTTGTAATGATTCATGTAAGTTTTCCTGGTCTTATAAAACTTGCTCCCTTGTATACGTTCCCCAAATTGCTTTGACTCTCATGTAGCAGGGATTTTTACAATGCATGTGAGAAATATTCTGTTGCTCATTATCTATTTGAAAACATGTACTTAAGAAAAAAAGGTCAGATAAAAATTGGTATAATGTGGAGCTCTAGTGGTAGTGAAGAAGTAAAGCAGCATGTAACACCAACCATGAAAAAGTAGATATTGACCTTTAGTAGGAAAACAGTAAGTGAAAATATGATAACAGATGGATTTAAACAAGGAAGAAGAAAGAGGGAAAGAGCTTAGCATCAAATTAAACATAATTTCAGGCTCACAGAATGCATCACTGCAAACAACATGATGAGTAACTCTCTTTTCTGTGCACAAACTTGCATCTTGTAATTCACTGCAGTTAAGCAACAGAAAAAATAAGATCAGTTTGCTTATGTTAGCCTTAGAGAAATATACATATATATATACTACAGCAGGAAACCAGTGTTCCTTACCAAAACTAACTGGGAGTAATTCTACGTACTCTTTTTTAAAAACAGTCCAAGTCACACATTGCCCTTCCCATGATAGCTGTGGCAACTCCAACACCAGCAAGCACTCTATTCTCAGCTGTATCATCACAAAAATAAAGCACCAATCACTAGGCAGCTTTAACACTGAGATTCAGCAGTCCCTGCAGACTGATGAGTTTGACAGGAATTGAATCCTAAACTAGGAAAGCTCCTTCCTTATATACCAGTACTATCACACATCCTGCTGGCAAGCATTATCAGCTTAAGTCCTGTTGATAGTCGATATTCCACCTGTAAAGGAGATGGTTTTTCAAACAGAGTGAGAGGACATGCAAAGCATCCTCTGCATCTAGTGTGCCTCATCACAGAGGATGCTCAAGCTCCTACATTCCTTGTGAAACACTGGCATTATTTTCTTAACTTCTAAGATGCTAGATGAACTTGGATATAGGTTAGAAGAAGTTTATAAAGCTAAAACAACACTGACAGTTATCAGACTACCACAAAGGAGCACAGAAATATTGCAGTGTGAATGTACAAACAACTGTGCAGTATTAGAAGGGCCCATTTCCAAAGTCAAGTAATATCCCTGCACAAACACACACGGTTTTGTACCTTCAGTAGGAAAAACCTGCAATTCCTTCCTAGGGAAACTGCTTTCCACCAAGACTACAGAAAAACAACACTGTAAAAGGCTCATGTATATATTACTGCTAACTTGCAACAGACCCTCCACCTATTTCAATCTATGTTATAAATCGTTCAATATTTTTGCTCCACTTCACAAGCTGAGTACACAGTGCCTTGATTCAGCACTACCCCATTTAAGAAACAATATATTTCAGCTGTTCGAGTGGATCATTAACGTCTTCATAAGTGTTCTTGTTTGGCAACATCCAGCCTAATGAGTGGTTTTCATTAGCATTGATTCCAATCTAGAGCGACCGCGACAACCAGTCATTTTCTGGTTTCGCTGCATTTTTACATATTTTGCACCCAAGGAACAGCTGTTGATTGAAGAGGCATCCCCTGGACCTGATTTAGGTGTATTTCAAAAACGCGGGACACCAAACAGCCCAGAGTTACAAGCCTCCGAGAGGAGATTCCCGAGCTGTGTGCGTTACCTGGTGGGCAGTTGCACTCTGGAGCCGCTTCTCTCGCTACTCGTATTTTGGCCAAGTGCTCGTAGGATTTCTGGGGGCGAGAGAAGCAACATGAGGGCGGGCACTTGGCGAGGAGCTCGCCCGCCACAGGCAGCGCTCCCGACCGCGGCCGCACTCTGGAATTTACCGCTATGCCCGGGGCTGCGCAACCAGCGGCGGCTCCGGGGCTCGGACCCGGCCTGAGGTGTCTCAGTGAGCTCAGCACCCCACAGGGACACCGCCAAGCCCGACACCTGGGGGCTCTCGCCCCGCCGCCCAAGTGACCCCGCTCTTTGCGCCGGCTCCCTCCACACGCGCGGTGCAGAGGCGCAGGGACGGCCGCGAGTCACCCATGAGAGAAGCGCCTCAGCAGGGCTGCCCCCGATCCCCAGCCCGCCGCTCCAGCAGCCCGGGGCGCCCCCGGCCCGCTCCTCCCCCGGCCCCGCCGCCCCACGGGGTTCCGGGCTCACTTTCCCGCTTCTCCCTCCACCTCCCATCCGAGCAGCTCCCCCCGGGCACCCTCCTCACGGCCTCGGCCGCCCCCGCCCCGAGCATCCCCCATGCCCCCCACACGCACACCGCACGCAGCGGCCACCCCCGTCCCGCACACCTGGGCGAGAAGTCGCTCCACTTTCTCCTGCATCATCGCGTTCAGCTGCTCCAAGGAAAAGCCGGGCAGCGGAGGGAGCGGGGCGGCGGCAGAGAAGCCCCCTCGGGCGCCTTCGATGGCCGCGACCCTGGCCTGGAGGTCGCTGGTCCGCACCCCCAGGTAGACGCAAGAGGCCGCAGCCAGCGCCGAGAGGAGCGCGGCCAGCGCGGAGCCGACCGGCCCGGCCCGCCGCAGGCAGCGGTCCCCGCGGCAGCCGGGCTTCCCGCTGCCATCCTGTCCTGCGGCTCCTCGGCTCTTCCCCAGCGTGCTCGCACACCCTTCAGCTGCGGCAGCTTTGATTTCCTTTCCTCCGCCCCCCATGGAGGCAATTAGTTTACAAACAACGATAACAAAAATAACAGCAACGAAGTAGGAAAAAAATAAATAACAAAACGGCAAAACAGTTACTTAAAAGAAGAAAAAAAAAACCCGCGGCAAGTAGAAGCAAAGCCCGCAGCCGGCTGACACACTTTGAAGGCGAAGCGGCGGCGCTCCGCAGCCCGCACCGCACGGCGCACCGCCGGCAGCGGGTCGCGACCCACCCCGCGGCAGAGGCGGCGGCGGGAGGCGGGGGCGGCGAGCCACAGGCCGGCAGCGGGGCTGGGTGCAAGGCGTGCCCCCGCGGCTTCCAGCCGCCCTTCGCAGGGAGCAGCGTGCTCTGCGAGCGCTTTGCCACTTGTCAGAGAGGTTTTCAGGCGCGGGGCGGGAAGCGCCCCCCCTCCGCCTCCCGCTCCCCTCCCCGCTGCCGCTGCCGGAGGACTTGTTGCTCCCGCTCCACCTGCCTGCCGGCGCCCAGCAGCCGCGCCGCGCCAGGCAGGGAAGCCCGCAGGCGGCAGGCAGCCCGCACCACCCCGCATCCCCGCCCTCATCGGCATAATTTATTCACCTAGGCGGAGGGGCGGCCTGCGGGCCGCGGGGGCTCTCTTTGCATAATGCATGCACGGCGTGCTGGACATCAGACTCACAAATTAGGAGGGCGAGGGTCGCAGAGGCCCCGGGAGGGGCTCCCATGCCGGGTGGTGCCGGGGAGGGGGCGGCGAGAGCAGCTCCGGAGGACCGAGGGAATTTACGGCGGTTTATGGCTGGGCTGTCATGCCCACGGTGCGGGCATAAAGCACGGGAGAGCTCCGTTGTCCCGTTCTGTATTTTTAGAGTGCGGAGGATAAACGTGTGTAACTCACCGTCGCAGGCAGGCGACGTGAGGGCTCACTTCCAAAGAAGCAGCCTGCACTAACCTCCTATTGTATGAAGGTTTGATTTTAGCCAGTTTTCTTTCTGCTTGTTTATTTATCAAGTTGCTTCTTCACTATTCCATGCACACTGTGAAGTTTTCATTTGCCTGCTTTGGTTGACTAGAAAAGGAGCATCAACGTCCAAAGAACTGATGGGAAGCTTGGTGGTTTCTGGTCCTTTCCTCTCTGCCTCTTACTGCCCAAATGCTGCATTGACCTGCTGTAGTTTGGTTCTCACCTTGGCATTACTGCAGTACATCTCCTATAAGGCACTTTTAGGTGACATTTCTTGTATTGGATACACTTTTTGAACCAGAGAAACTTCTTAAAGCAGGACCAGATGTTGAAAGAACACATAGCTCACCCAGTTTGGTGTTTATTTATGTGAATACTGACTACTTACAAGATATGTGATGAAAAAGAGATTTGTCCAACTATGGCACTTCTCAGACACGACCAAGATCAAATTTGATTGTGGATCAAATTTCCTTATGGAATCATATTTGTGCAGTTTTATTACCTATTGTTTCCCAAGTATTCAAGCAGTCACAACTGCCATGAAAACATGTATCCAAAAAGCTCTGTGGCTTTCAGTCTAATTACTTAGACTTTTAATGAAGTGTACCAGAAGTTCATAGCTAGTCATTTATTCTTCATCATTTGTCTCTTCTTTCTAAACAAAAAGTTTTGTGTACTCTAGTGAGAGAGAAGAAACCATGATTACATAGCCCTAGGTGATAGTTTCTTCACAATAAGCAGTTGAGGGTTGCAAGGGAGAGTTTACAAACAAATTCCACCAAGCAGCACATACCTTATGGTCAGGACTTGGGAATAACAACTGCACTTTTCAAAACAAGGACTTGCTCACAGACTATCTGTCGGCAATAAGAAGTTGAAATAGTATTTGGAATTAATAAACTGGCAGCAGAAAATAAGTAATAGCGACATGCTCTTATTTGGCGCTCAGCATGGGCTCCCCGAGTATGGTCTGAGCAGTGCCCAGGCTCATAGCAGAGCGGCTGGCAGCACACGAGGTGCTGGGAGCCATTGGCGCCGGCTCCAGCGCTTCACATTACCCCCTGTTGTTAGTAGCCAGCACCATTACTCACCCTGCTTGTGGTGACATCCAGCAAAGGATCCCTGCAAACCCTCGGGACACGATTGCCATTTTCTGCAGGGGGCCAGTGAGGCGCCACGGGGAGCAGGATGGCTGCCCACAGCCCGCTGCTGTCTCACAGCTGCACTTCCTCACTTGTGGTGTGCAACTGGGTGCTGCTCATCGGGGCCAGGGTGACATCTCCCCCTGGGATCAGCTCTTCTTATTTCAGGGCAGGTACAGATATCCTCCACATAGACAGGGGGGCACAGACAACCACGTACCCATAGGTCAGTGTGACATGGCTCGATGTTTTGCTTGGCCAAATGATGCAATCTTTCTGCCCAAGCATCTTTCTGTCCCAGCATCATGCCATCCATTCTTTTCAGGCAAAGCATATTCTACATCTGAAATTTAATAGCCTGACCCAGAAAGTCCTTGTTACATTAGATTTGCACGTACTTGCCATCAAAAACGTTGCCAAACGAGCCAGATTACCATGTTTCTATGGGTTACAGTGCAAAGCCATTTTCCTACTGAATAGCAATCCCATGCTAGATGTTTTTTATTCTGAAAGGGTATGATGGGAAACCTGTCTTTTTTCTGTCAGGGACAAATAGAAAAATCTGCCAAACTAGCATCAAAGTCCAAGCCGGGAAAGCAGAACTCTAAAATACCCAAGAAATTGTTTCCATGCTCTTTCTCACAATGGCTAGCTATACTTCTACACAGCTGGGAGAAAAGCTAGCCCTACGTGGTCTCAGGTCTGAAAAGAGATGAGGCTTATGCTCATGTGTACATGGGTCTGCTCAAACATATCCTTGGACAAGGGGAAACATGATGAAGAAGAGCGAGAGGAGAAAGACCAGTGTCAAGTCTTCCTCCTTGCCCCAGCTTAAAGTTACATTTTTTCTTTTGCTAAAGCTTGGTTCTCAGAAAGATGTCAGCTAAAAGTTTGTTTAAATGCTTAGAAATTACTTGATAATGGCAGAGTTAGAGAACAAATTATTTCCCATAGCTTTTTTTCCCTAATGTGTTTTCACCTAGAAATAGATAAAAGAGGTTTTGAAAATGCAAATTAGCAGTGTCCTCTGCTTGCAGCAAAACCATGGTGATTTTCCTGATGGAGTCATTATTTATCCACTTCACGGCAAGGTTGGTCCAGAACAGACTGGACTGGAGTGCAGAATCCAAGCAGCAAGCTATATTATGCATAGTCTGATTAAATCTAGCACAGGAGTTGTTTGTGTAGGCGAAGGACATAACACAGATGTTTTACCTGTTATAAAAATCTCTGATCACGTCTGCCTGAGTTAAGAGCATTAAAGCAGCCATACCCTCCCATGCTCAGTTACTTGATACCATCAAGTGGACAAGCAGCAGCTTTGCAGTATGCTTGTCCCATCTAAACACAATCAACCAGAGGAAAAAAGTGTTAAGGCACATTGTTTGCTGCTTTTGCCAGCTTTCCACAAGCGGAAGGCAGAGCGAATCCAGGACATGCATATGCTCAGTGCCAGTGAGCCTGCTTCTTATTTTGCAGCCATGATGATGCCAGAGTCAAGAAGGCATCTACTTAGGATCATAACTAAGATTAAAACCAGATTGCTGTAGCACTTTTGAGAATGCTACCCATGCAATGAAAGAACACGGTTTCTTTTTTTTTTCCCTCTCTATCTTAAAAAAAGCCACTGTATTTTTAACCTTTTTATTAGTGAAGATTTATAGGTTTTAAATTAGAGGGAGTAACTTGGTCTAACGAGTTAAACTTCTATTCTAGGAGTAAACCAGATTGCACTTCACATGGGCAAGCAGTAATTTAACTGCTTGCTGCCAAGAACCTTATCTCAGACATTTCTAGTCACATTTAAGGTATACCATGCAAGTTTAAGTTACAAAAAACTTTAAATTCTTTAAAAGCCTATTTTGTATCTGATAGCCAGAATACAGCAGCTTGAAATAATACCTGTACACCTGGTATTTTGAGCTGGCCATTAACACATACAGGTGGAGTGTAAGAAATGGCAAATCTGCAGCATTCCAACTCAAACAGCAGCAAAAGGAGGAGAGTTTTAAGTAAGGTCTGCTTGAAGAGCTCATGCACAAAGACCTAAGGCAGCCCCACTTCCCACCAAGAGGCTGGCTTTGAAGATTCAAATCTCTAAAGGCCACATTTCAGCAGATCTTGCGTATGGCCAGGCCAAAGGTATTGACACGAGATGCTACTGTTTGCATTTCATGGGCCTGTGTTTGAAGATGTGGATGGTGTTTGCAGATAACAGTTTTCCACCAGACAGGACTAGTGTCTGGAGTTCTTTCCCTATTTTTATGTCTACAGCATGATGTATTCTGGCTGACCAATCCACAGTCCATCACTGGATTTCTTTACCAGATACAACATAAACTTGTGACTAAAACAGATGTGTGAAAAACAAGCATTCATCTGCTGAAACAACAAGCCATGTTCAATTTGTGATATATATTGCACATATGATCAGGAAAGGCAGAAGGCAGGGAGTAAATACAAATAGGGACTGGAGTCTAGGATCTCGAGTTAGAGCTGAGGCAGCACACACAAAGATAAACGCTCAAATGGTTAATAATGGTTATGCAAACCCTTCTTCTGCAGAGGTTCCTGCTTTCAAACTGAGCTTATTTATTATTCATTCTATGTGGAGCCAAATTGTATCTGCATTCTGCTTCTTCCTCCATTCATCTCTCTCCTGCTCTCTCCTGCCTTCAAATTGGAGTGCATCTTGCACCCTAAATGAGATATAACTCAACTTTTGTATACTTATATAGGGAAAATGCAAGGTGGAGGCAGAATCCAGCACTTCTCTCACTTCTTAGCTCCCTGGCAGATATGGTAGTATGGTATTTCTCATCGACCTGCTCATAATATCTGCCAAGATAGCTCAGAATCACCAGAAAAACAACTTACTTCACTGTTTTGGGAAGAAAGTTGGAAAAGCCTTTCACTTTCAAATATCCAAATTGATTGCCTTCTGTCACTTTAAATTTAATATAAGCACATTGCAGTGTACATGATGCAGTACATTAATATACTTAGCAGATGGATAACACTTGCTCGTGATTTAATACTTAGATATACTCATTTCACATCTACTGTACAAACACTTCATATATTTGGATTTTTAAGTCAGACTTATCTTC